CCAGCAACCCGCCGCCAGCCAGTGGCAGATGTTCCTTAACCCCCGCATCATTGCATGCAGTTGCGCGCGCGCTCTTTTCTCTTTCTCGCTCACACATCTTACTCTTAGCCATGGAACACTCTCTCATCCCCTGAAGGAAGCGAGAATATGACTATGAGAGATCCAAAGAGCCTTGAAAAGATCATGGGACTATCAAGTCAACTGCGCTTACAATCAGTTCCCCATCATCTCTCATGAACTACTACTTAGCCACACTATACCTGTCGTCCGATGCTCTGCGCGCGTGTGCGTATAGTGGATAGCATAGTGGGTTAACTTGGTTGGGTATGCGACTTAGACAATGAAGAGGAATAGCTGTAGTAAGTCAGTCATGTAGTACGTATAACTGGAAGTACAGTACATACATACAGTACAGTACCACCTCTTCCTCCTCCACTTCTCGCCATCAGGCGATGGGGAATGTCGATGGGGCTGTCTTACTGTTGCTCTTTGTCTCGTAAGGACCCAAAGGAGAGACACAATGCTTATTTGACGATCGGCAGGCATGGAATCCCAATTCCTTCGCTTACTGCTGCTTCTATGCTGCTACCTGCTGCTGTCTCAAATGTGAAGAAAGGTGACCAAGTCAATCAATTGTCATTCTCCATATTGTTCAGCCTCGTTTACCTAAAGGGAATACATGAAACCGAGACAAGCGAGGAAATCCCGAGATGAGAGAAAAGGAAGGAAGGAAGGATCCCAGAGGGGGGTCTTCCGGTCGAGTTTACCATACCATACCAGCGTTCCCGTGATGTACTAAGTAAGGGTACACACAACTGACTGACCGCGTGACTACTTCTTGCTCCACCAGTCCATTCCACCCTTCTCCGGTGATGATGATGATGATGATGTTGATTGTTATTGTGATGGTGGAAGACGATGGATTATCCACGATGCACCTGTTTCTTTGCAAGAAACAGAATGCAGTGCAGGAGAGTGGCTACCTGCCTTACTTCAGCGTGAGGCATTTGATAACTTCACCTTATCCACCGGATCCTTTCTTTATGCTTCAGGAACAGTCAAGACAGATAGCTTAGGTGGTTACAGGACAGCATATCATACAGCACTTCAGGTCAAATGGTAAGTACCAGGCGAGTACCGGGATACACATGTCCCATTGCCAGTTGAAACAGCGATGAAATCACCCGACAGCGAACGAACCTCACAACCACATCACCCCTGGTCGCGCTGACCGTGATGACAAGCAAGCTAAAGTGCCTGCCCACGATGCTGCCCTCGTTTCCTACACTCCCTGAGCGAGTGACGATAAAGAACAGAACCGCCGATCTGCGATCGGGTAGTGGCTGAACTGCGATTCTCCGCTATTACCGCCAAGTGCGAGCAAGCCTTTCCTTTCTTTCACTCAACCTTGACGATGACTAAGATAGGGCCATCTTTTGGCTGACGGTCTCAGCAATCCTGATCAAATGTCACTTGATATTGGATGGGCTCTCCCTATCGATAATCCTGATCGGCGCATAAATGTTGCCGCCTCCTCATTTTGATTTTCACACGGCACACCGTTCTCCTCAGACTTACGGAGTACATACACGAGGCGGAGAAAGAAGGTCAATTTCGGAGCCACTGTCATCATCTATCAAAGGCTGTCAGTCATCGCCGTCGGTTCAGAAGGAGGGGCAACTAGAACTACTGGGCTGTGGAAGAAAAGGATCAATCGTCCCTCCGTATCCATCACCTAGTGATTGGAACCCCCCCCATCAAGCTACCCACTACCCACTATCCACCACCTCGGCTGCTCCCCTCCTTTATTTTGAATTTCCCACCCCCTGCTCTACCGTTAGCATGCCAAATGGAGTCAGGTCGTGGTACGTATACACCTCTTGGCTATTATTATTGCCTGGTAGGCTACCACGCCCTGACCGTGTGTTAGGTTGGTTTACTGGTTCTCAGGTACAGTAAGCACATACCAACTCACCAAGCAAAAATCAGGTAAACTAGTCAAGGAGTTGGTGATAGATACTACTATACTAGCCAGGTACCAACCACCGCCCAACAGTAGCACCCACCCATCTGGAGCTTGGGGGACAATTTTCCCTGGCAGATATGCAACATTTCCCAGTTCATAACCCGTTCACCGTTCTCACTGTCCACACACACCCCTTGGCCGTCCATCTACCGAGCCAATCTATGTTTTCTGTCAAGCAATCCAAAGTGCATCTCCAAACCAACTAGCTAGCCCACTTGGCAGCAGCAGCAGCAACAAGGAAAACAACAAAAAAGTCAAGCTCAGGCACCACCCCTCATTTAATCAAATCTATCAATCAATCAATCACGGTGTCAAAAAAAATGGTCACCAGTTCCGAACCCAGTAGTTCCCTTCCTCGGTCGTTGATTTGCCAGAGACCGGGGGTTCATATGAGAAAAAAAAATTAAAACTAAAACTAAACCACTTTTCACATATCCACTCGGACTAACAACAAATCCAATCCGATTTCCTCCTCTCCCCCCTTCCGAAAACCTGCATGGTGGCTTTCAGCCCAAACCGCAAGATGAAAAACCAGCAAGAAAGAAAGAAATTAGAAAAGTAAACCATCTTTGAGTTCCTGATTTGTAGCTCAACCACACTGGCAGTTGTTTAAGGGCATATAAAACATGACATTGCACTCTTATGAGTATATTGAGAGACCCTTGGTCCAATCAACATAGATACTAGATGGGAGTGTGGTAAAAATTCGGAGGTTCGGAGTTATAAACCTCAACCACATTCGAAAGACCTTGAAGAAAGGCTCAGAACTATTCATGTACAGTACATTTCCACGATCTATAAATACATCTAAATGAAGTTATGAAGATATAGAATCAGATATCTTGCGAGTAAATCCGTCCCCTAAGGGAAAAGGGCATCACTATGACAATATCTATAGTTACCATCAACCATTATTCATCTATAGCATCTTCTAGCTCAAACGTCAACAGTTACGTATCATGCAATGAGCATGGACAGACAAACAAACAAACTCAGGTACTCATAAGTCGACTCCTGCTCCTTCATTCCCAAATCCTCCAATCTTCCCCGTAGTCTACTCCGTAGTCTGTTCCGTACAGCAACTAATGTACGGGTACAGGGTCATCAGAATCGACCCCCCGAAAGAAACCTGAAAACCCCTCCCCCCTCCTCCTCCTTCCAGAAGGAAATTAGAATCCTCTGTTCCCTCCTGTCCCCACCATCTCCGATCCTCCCACAACCTCCTGGCGACCAGTCAACTCGCCTGGAATAGGTAGTCATGCTGTTTGATAACGCGGATCCGATATGCTCATAGTACTAAGTACTTATGCGCTTGTTGTACAGCACCTCATACGTACTCTCGATATCTTCTGCCCCCTTCAATCGGTATATGAAGTTTCCTACAAACCTAGAAGAGTACATACAGTAGAAAGGATACGGCCAACCGATCAGCAAACCCACAGTATACATCCCAAATCACCGCACACTGCACTGCATGCACATTGTCACCATAACACACAACATGGAACTCAACTACCGCCCACTGTACGATATAACCCACTAACTACCTACTAGCCTAGCATAGAGCACCAATATAGGTGGATATACTGTGTAGTCTACAACAAGTCCCTTGAAGCCTGAACCCGATAATCACCCACCCACCCACCCACCAACCAACCTCAAATGAATCCCCCTCGTCCCAAATTAATATCAACTCCGAAATCACTAGCACTAGTACTCATAGCAATCTAGGGGAAACAACAAAAAACGTGGCTTTTAGGGGAGGGAGGGAGGCGGAAGGGAGGCGGAGGGGGGGGGGTGGGTTCGTGCTCGCCTTGTATAAAAACAGACTAGTCTCAATCAAACCAAGTCAAATCAATTCATCATGAGATCCTAGGAAAACACTAAGTATGAATGTTGCATCATCAACGTTGTTTCATCGACTGTGATGTACCTGCGCATTGTTGTGTATGAACACACGAGGATAGCACCCTCGGTATCTTCTCGGTGGCGGACCACCCCCCCAATTGACTTGATATCATGGCTGTTGCTTTTATGAAAGTTGGTCTGAGTCTGAGGATCTCTATGTAAAACTCTCCCGAAAGAAGAAATTGGTAGAACTAACTACCCTAGGGATCAGAGAATCGGGAAGTAATGCCGTCGTCGTCGTCGTTGTCTACTGTCTTAGTGGGGAACAACAGGAAGGGATTGGAACTATGGAGTAATAGCACTAATTAAAAAAAAGGAACCCAAGAAAAAAAAAAAGAAAAGGAGAGAAATCCTGAGTTACGGAATCTGCCGAGTAACCGACACACGCCTTCCTCTTTTTACTCAAGAATCTTTTTTTTCCCAGCAGGAATTAAGTACATAACAGGCTAATGGCACAAGGAACCTGAAGAGGCCACATAGGATACGGTAGAGACGAGAAAGGAAAGGAGTCCCTGAAGTCAGCATCATAATTAATTCTGAGACTTTACGGAGCACTGAACAGTACAGTACATACACCGACTGCTCCAACTACCAACTTTCTGCGGATCGTTCATCCTGTAAAACAGCCAAATGTTCAATCCCGCCTGGCTTACATCATTTGAACAGTTCATTATGCAGATCTCGGGTCTGCTGATTACTGTTTTTTTTTCTAGGGACGATCTCACGTTATATCATTCTGTCGGTCAGATGGGGCCGGCATACTCGGGGGAGGGGACAAAGGGGTTAGCCCCGGTGAGCCAAAGCTTTCCTCTCCCCATTTGGCAGCCTGCCATGGAGAATGATGTACAATGTACTCGGTATATGCATGATTCAACGAGGTCTAACACTCATTTGGGAATCTTGTGGAATCATATCGTATGCATGCACGGCTACAACATCGGATGACGCAGGTGCCTTGCCACCGGGCCCCAACTCCCCATGTCTATAATGACCCCTGACATATAGGTATGTGCATTATACTCATAACCGCTAAAATATACAGGATACTTTAAGCAACTTCCCCCAATCATGCTAGAGACGGTGAGCTTTTCCATTGGTATAGGGCCCGCAACACTGCGATGCCCCCTGACTGTGTCTCAACAGTACGTCCTCGGCCCCGATCATTGGCATCGTGCTTGCCTTGCTCGGTTACGTCTGACTGTTCCTCTGAGGAGCGTGACCACCCGGATGCGAGCCCCCAACCGTACGGCTGCGTTCCGATCCCAGAGCCGGACCTCTCGTCAGCGAGTCCCCGCGAGTCACGGCTGCGCAGGAGTCCCGTCAGCCCTTCGGATCCCTCAGCCCGTGCTCCATAGTTCTCATAGTCAATCGCCCCCGGCGGCAGAGGGCTTTCATCGGTGATAGTGCTCCCAGATACGCGGGACTGGTTTCCCCACCACATGCCAAACTTGCCCTCGTTGTTCCGAGTCACAAGAGCCGCGTTCGCATTATGCTCGATCCACGGCCGATATGCGCGGCAGCGAGCTTGGTGCCACTCGTACACATACTGCCATGCCTCTCCTTCCTCATCTGTCTGGTTCGCACTAGCCAGGAATCGTACCTCCTGCGGCCGGATAGGCCGACAAAACTCCGCCAGGTGATGGAAGAAAATCCCCTTGAATGTGTGACTGTTCTGAGAGCAACTTCCGGAAGAGTCACACACTTCCTCCAGAACACCGCCGCGTCCAAGACCTTGCCATTGTTGACTGTCCTTATCGGGCCATCCGGTTGCCTTGATCACATTCAGGACTAACTGATGACCATCATACAGGTACTGCTGCAAAGCAGTTGCCAACCAGAGTCCCCTTAGCCCGCTGAGGATCACCCCCTGGTTGTAGGTATATACCATTGTGTTAAGGACATCGCACTTGCGGGTGCCAGGCCGGTCATCGCTCTCCCAGCCACTGATGTGGAAGCCGTCACCATAGAGCCCATTGCTATCGGTCATGTTAGACGAATTGAGCCAGGCATAGCCCTCAATGGCGGCTTGCAGGTGGGCAGGGTTATGCGGATAGCCATCTGACCAGTTCTCATCCTCAACGATTTCTGCCACAAAGGGGGATTGAATTTTGTCACCTGGAAAATACAGGTACATCCCAATACTCGCCGAGATATATAATTCGTTCGTGATGGCATTCTTGTAGGGGGTCAAGTAAGGGCTCCAAATCATCCCACCGCCACAGAGCAACTCATCCCACCCGCCGGACGCGAGGCCGTAAAACACACGTGCTCGATGCGCCGCGGGGGATCGAAACTGGGTTCCGTGCCAGCGTAGCTTCGCAGTTGCGTTGGGCGAGAAAGGGTCGTCATAGTGCAGATCAGAGTGCAAGATTTGAAACTTCATGTTTTCCAGCCAACCCAGGACTACCCACAGCATATCATCGAAGGCCTGACCACGCAGGGAGATGGCATTCTCGCCAAAGTAGAACGCGGAAGTCTGGTCGAAGAAGTGGTTGATCAGGTTCTCCGAGCCCAGTTCGTATCGACCGCGCTTCGTCGAGTGCATCCAATCTTCAAGATCACCCAGTGACACAGCGGTCGACAGCACGTCGCCGGTGGTGGCAGTCAGCGAGGCAAGTGTGGCAGAGACATGGGTGCCCAGCACAGCCGCAGTCCAATCGATACTCGACGGCCAAGTGCCTTGCCACAGTTCGAAGTAAGCATCTTGCATCACATGGAGAGCATCCAACAAGTCGTGCAACGTGCGGCTGATGCTCTCGGTGGACTCGGGAGGTGAATCCGGGGCAGGCAGGGGGAGCTGCTCCGACGGTGATGCATTTGTCCCCTCGAGCGGAACCTGTGCGTCCAGGGCGACTGGCGCAAGGACGTCCTGCGACCGCAACGCCAGCGCATTGGTCTCAAACAGGGTTAGGAGCAGACAAAGAAATCTAAAAATGAGCAGAAATGCTTGCATGATTGTAATTCTGTTCTAACTGTATTTACCCCGGATCCGAGGGGTTGGGGATCTGCTTGTTTCGAGAGCCTGATAATAAAGGGAGGAAAGGGACAGCAGTAGCAGCAGCAGTGGAAAGGCAGATAAGAGGGATGACGATTGTCTTTTGATTTTAAAAATAGCTATTTCAGACACGCGGGGGGAATAGATGCACGGAGAGTGGGCTGCATGCAATTGAGGGAGCTGATCGAATGAGACATAATCGGCTCAATGCTGCCCAGTCCGTGCCATGAAGCAGGAAAGGAGGGAAGGAGGGAAGGAGGGAAGGAGGAACCGGGCTTAGTCCGGAGGAGTGATGATGATGATGATGATGATGGAGGATGATGATGGAGAGATGGGGAAAAGTAAGAGTCGGGAGTCTAAGGTTAACTTCGGCGTTGTGCGGGGGAGGGAAGGAAGGGAAGGAAGGTAGGGAGAAGGGAGGAGTCTCGGCGGACTTAACTAATCCCACCTTGGAATGAGCTCCATTTCTTTCCACGGCACCTTCAACTGGCAGTTGGCACTTCTTTCTTACAGTCAAATCTTGGTCTTGCATCACGCGCCCTCCTTGTTGTTGGTCGCATGCCATTCAGAACTTAACCCCGGAGTCCCGACGATCCTATGCTGATTGCTTCGCTTGTCCGGTGCCTTGACCCCCCCCCTTCCCAATTCCCCCCTCCCAATCCCCGCATTTACTTCTCGGATGATCATTTATCAATCATTTGGAGAGTGTTTACAAGGATCCATGGTTTCCCAACAGTCTCGTGGGTTAAGGGTGCCTGTCATGTAAATCACCAAGGTGAGCAACAAAGCATTTTGGTTGAAGGGCGCTACAAGCATTGAGATGGCCACGCGACACTCGTATTCGGTGAGTTCAAGCGACACAAAGATTAAATACACACGCTAGTAGACAGAACGGGATATCTAGCTCTGTAACATCAGTCATCCAGGCTGGATGTTCCTACTGCAACATTAGGTGACGGTCATACAGAAATAGGCAGGGCAGATGAGAGAGACCAGTAGCACATACCATATCACTGAAACCTCATGATGCCGGCACCATGCTCCTTTGAAGGTTTTTTTCCCCCGTCAGGCGACGAGCATAATATGGAACTCCCAGGAGACAATGCCGGCTTTGTTCTGCTTCTCCCACCCCCTCCTCTCCCTCCCCCTAGAGCCGATTTGGTCGAGCCAGCTCCCAGACTTCCAGCTCATGGCATGAATTATCTGGACAATCCTAAGCAGCCAATGCGATTCTTATTGTAGTGCGAGCGCAAAATAGCAGGACCCCAATGCTGGCGGAGGTCTGGAGCAAACAAAAGGCCAAGTGTCTGGCGCATCCACGGCCTGTGAGATGAATTGAAAAGAAGACGCTCTCCCAACAAACAAAACATCACGGCGGGCTTAGTCCCGTGCATCATCGGCTCCAGGACTGCGGCTCCTCTCGCGGCTTCTGCTGCGGTTCCTACCGCCGCCACGTCCACCTCTCTGTCCTCCACCCTTTCCTTTATTTGAGGGAGGCGGTCTAACGAATGCGAAATCGACGGAGATGGTCTGGTCCAGTAGTTTGGAGCCGTTCAGGGCTTTGATGGCGTCCGAGGCTTCGGGGAGGGTGGAGTACTCGATCAAGGCATATCCCTGTTTCACCACAGACGAGTCAGTATCTGGCATACTATGAGAGGCAACGAAGAGAAGTTCAGGGGGTAACAGCTGGCAGAGCTTTCCAGCTCCGGTGATGCTGTGTATGGTAGAAGTGAAGGAAGCAGTAACCGACCTTGACGTAACCCGTCCGGCGGTCCAAGTTCAGGCTGAAATTCTTGATCTCTCCATATTCGGCGAACAAGTCCGTGACGTCCTCTTCAGAGGCCTCTTCATGGATGTTGGTCACAATGACAATCCATCCCTCGATGCTGCGTACTGCGACGGCACCCGCCTGTGTTCTCGGATCGTGGCTACCGTTGCTGGACTGCGCGGGAGCTTCTTCCTCTTCCTCTTGTTGCACCACCGGAGGGTCGACTTCCATTTCCGTAGACATGATGGTGGTATTGGAGTAGTAGCTATACGCTGAGGAAGAAGATAGCTTTGAGGTAGTAGTTCGAGGAGGGCCAATGGCTGGACTTGCAGTTCACCGTCCGAGGCTTGCCATGGGATCTTGCGAAGCTTTGCGGTGTGCTTAGGTAATCGGACTCACTTCCCGACGGCACTCAGTGACTGGCCCTAACCTCGTTCCTTATTCGATCTCAGCATATTCAAGGGCTAGAATAGTGTGATAGAGTGCAATCCAAGCAGGAAGCAGATCTTGACTTTCTAGTCAAACGAATAAAGGAGGATTTACTAGGGAAGTCGTGAAGTTGACAGTGAGTCCATAATGATACGTAAATATATAGATCAGCTAATGACCTACACTTAGATCTCACCTACTTATGAAATGCAATATCGCATAGATTGAAGTTCCTTCTGTAACTTGTATCTGACCAGCTTTGAGACAAGTTGCCTATTACCATAGGTGAATAGATGGTCTTACTCAGTACGCTTAATGGGTGCAATGACTAGAACTACCTTAGGCAATAGCTTCTTGTAGGACACCTGCTATCTTCAAGGAATGACAGTATCGAAGCTTCACCAGTGATGCTCACCCACTGATACATTCAACCTAGGGGACAGCAGCTTTCGTGGCAGCATGTCTATTATACTAAGCAATTGAATGCGGCTGGAGGTGTTCTACATGTGAACGGCAGTTTGTGTGCTGGGATGATATCTCACTCTGTGAAGCTGATCCAAGACCAGTGACCGCTGTATAGCTGACATGTTGGGGGCACTAAGCTTTTAAGCTTTGGTTTCTAGCTCACTCTTCACATGTAGCATCTAGTATATATTGAGAATTGTATAGGATTTTGAATTTGCGAACACAGTCCACTCTCTACATCAATGATTGATTGCTTGATGTGCAGGTATTGAAATGATATTGAGAAGCTTCCATGCTTCCTTTAGCTTTTCTCGTTGTAAATGCAGTGGTACTTCCGCTGAGAGCTCATCACCATAATGTGGCATAGCACCTTGAGGCGAAGTGAAAGTTAGGCAAGATCATCTCTTGACTATGGAGTGCTACAAAGATAAGCACAATGTTCCCAGTGAAAACTGCTAGTGAACCGACAGTTGCTGCGTGCTATCATAGTGTAAACACCCGCGCGATCCTAATACCAATCCCATTCCCTCACACAGCTCTCTTTCCCCTCATCGTCCCCGTGTACAGATCTTTACAGAACTCACATCTTTCACGAGCCAACCTAAACACAAGCTCTTGAGAGAAAGCAATCTCAATCCACCATGAAGTACTTTCGTGCACTTCACCCTCATGCACCTGAGAAACCGACAGCCGAAGATGATCAGACCAAGCGTGTGTCAGTCGCGAACAATCCATGGCAAGTCCCCCCCCTCCTCCTACATCAACAACAAACATGGCATGAATTCTCATACCTTGAAAACTCCCTCGGCCAGCGACGATCCGTCGTGCGTCTGCCACTTCAGATATCCCATCCGTTTCCGCAAGCTCGAAGCCGTCGTATGCGGTCCGGAAACAGGCCAGATCCACGAGCTGCACCAGGACGAAACCCAGCTAGACGTGGCCTTCGATGCGGTCGGCAGCCGAATGCTCATCAACGAGCACTACCCCAACCCCGTCAACCGCTCCATGTCGGTCGACGTCAGCCTGATCCTCAAAGCCAAGTACGTGCAGTTCGTGAACCTCGAAGGTCTCTCCGACCACTCCCTGCTCCTCACCTTGCGGATCGGACGCACCGCCTCGGCCGTGAGGGGCAACAAGATGATCCTGAAGGAGAAAGTGCGCGGCTTCTTCGAGTGTCCGCCCTACATGCGCCTGTTCGAGGATCTGTACAAGTGCCGCTGGCCGGAGAAGTTCATCCAGATCCGGCTGCCCGAGAAACGATGCAAGCGCTGGAAGACGGTAGCGCTGATCCTCAAGGCGTTCAACCAGATCACCTCCGAGAACTATTGTCAAATGGCGGGGATGATGATGACCCCTCGTGTCGGGGGCTTGGATGCGCGCGCCATACAGAGGGAGATCAAAGTCAGGAAGGAGAAGGGCAAGGGCCCGAATAAGGTCCGCCGTCAGGAGCCTGTCTCGGCGAAATACAGAGTTGCAGTGAGCGATGCGGACAAGATTGAGCGCGTGAACCAGGCATATGCGGTGCATCTCATGGCTTTCATTAATTCCTCCCCGTTCACCCCGCGCGAGTATATCGACAGGCTCTCTTGACTGCTGCGTAGCTCTGCGGCCGAGACTGTGTGCTGCGCATCACCTTCGACTTCGATCTAGCAGTGAGAAGGAGGACATATGAAGAGGAAGAGGGGATTGTGACTATCACAGCCTGTGGTGCTAATGGGCTTACACCACAACCGATCTTCGGGATTAGCGAGAGAAAGTACAGACTCAGCATAAGCATAAGATGCTCGAAAATGAGGGTCACTTGGGGCATCGAGGTCTTCGTTTCGGTCTTTGCATCAGCGTTGGGCGCAGGTATTTAGGGAGAAAACGCTTTAAGTCTTTTCATTCCGGATAATTTCTTCCATGATGTGAAATGTTAATATCTAATGAGGTAATGTTATTACGGATGATCTTCGGCAGAACACCGAAAAGAAAATGATTGATCTAGGCTCGATTGTCCGCGTTCCTGATCTTATATGGTGCCGTATCTCCCAGGGTTTCCAAGCCATGGATCCATGAAAGAGACCCAAGCTGTCAAGACTTGTGCCTCACATGATCACATACTTTATCAGTCGATTCTATCATGTGATATCTGCTAATTTTGGCTCGGACTTATGAAGAAATTGATACCATCCCGATTATGCCCCTTGCATAATGCTCTGTACCGTACCTGGTCGAGATCACACCAGGCTCTTCCTATGAGCAGGTATTTCCCATCGGTTTCTGCATCTCAGCAGAGGCCCCGCGCATAGCTTCTTTCCTCAACTGATATATTCCTCGTTTCTTCGAAAACCAATTGAGAAGATCGGATCGAAGGTATGACTCTCCTATCCTCAAAAGTCAAGAGCCTATGCCAAGCTTTTCCATGTGAGACCAAGTGTTTTGGGTTTGTCCCTTACATACTACGTATTCTCTTGCGAGGGCCGGATGGGTTGAAAACACAATACTCCGTAGAAGGCCGAAGGATGTCTGTTTATGAGTGAGGATGCAGTATGGCGCTCCAAAAAAGACTATGCTTGAGAATAACTCCCTGAGCATCTCGTTCTTCTCATCCAACAACCTCGATTCCCGAACCAGTTCATAATCAAGGCCGCATGAGCTGTAGGTTACCGCATGCTGCAACACGCCCTTGGCCATGATTTACTGTCACGGTGCGGCTGGGATTATCCTTACATACAGAAAGGGCTGCCATTGTTTCACAGACCGTCAGGACGATTCAAGATGAGCCAATCGCATGTGAATCCGCTCAAGGATACTTACAGCATAGGTCAGGACGAGAGGCCGCCTCTACATTGACCGTTTTCTCCCCGCAAAATGTTGCGCCGGTTCGTGCATCCGGAGTTATGCCTGCATGTTTCATCAGAACGAGCGAGACTCGATCGAACCACCACAGCGTGTGGTAGCACAGTACAGCACATTGCGATACCCACAGCACAGTTTCGAAGTTCTGCATGGTTCTTTCATTCAGTACAACCGCGTATGATGCAAGCTGCAGAGCAACTTCTGGCAGCTCCACTTGGCAGTATGCCGGTCATTCTCCCCTTGAACCATAAATCACCGAGGGGCATCTTGCCTAACCCTATAATGAATCCTCTCGGACTCGGCCGCTCAGAATCTGAATTTCCGAGTCTGCGTGCGTTGTCTTTCCTTAATCTTCTTGCGCAATCACATTCATTTGTCGATACCATCTAAAGTATAGATTCGAGAATCTCGAGATCAACCCTTCCTTAATAGACCGGCTCCAAAATCAACCCTCTGTTTCTCTTGTCTTCTTGCTCTCAAGCAGGAATATGGAAGATATATGAAACAAAAAAAGTAGCGGTGGCATTCAGAATAACATCCCCATTATTGGTTGTCACATAACATAGCCTCTTCCCAGCATACACCTGCAAACACACTCGTACGCCATGGCATCACCACCCCGCAACGCGCGATGGCTTCAAGCACTGATGCTCATAAGCCCCTTTAGCACGGCATTGACGGCAAGCACCGGGGCATGGCGAACCAGATCGGTGTATCAGACGATGACCGACCGGTTTGCTCGCACGGATGGGTCGACGACTGCTCCTTGCAACACGACCGCCGGTCTATACTGCGGTGGCACCTGGCGCGGCATGATCGACCACCTGGACTACATCGAGGGGATGGGCTTCGACGCAGTGATGATCTCCCCGATCATCAAGAACGTCGAGGGGCGCGTCGCCTACGGGGAAGCGTACCACGGCTACTGGGCGGAAGACCTGTATGCCTTGAACCCACATTTCGGGACGGAGCAGGATCTCCTCGACCTGAGCCAGGCCCTCCACGCCCGCGGCATGTATCTGATGATGGACACGGTCATCAACAACATGGCCTACCTCACGAACGGCCACGACCCGGCCACCAGCATCGACTACTCGAAGCTGCAGCCCTTCAACGAGGCCCGCTACTACCACCCCTACTGCAAGATCACCGACTACAACGACTACCCGCTGGCGCAGCGGTGCTGGACGGGCGACGACATCGTCGCCCTGCCCGATCTGAAAACCGAAGACCCGGACGTCCAACGCATGCTCAACCGCTGGATTTCTGAGATCATGGCCAAGTACTCGATCGACGGGCTCCGTCTCGACGCCGCCAAACACATCACCCCGACCTACCTGGCCGCCTTCCAGCAAGCGGCCAACAACTCGCTGGTCACCGGGGAGGTCTTCGACCGGTCCGTCGACACCATCTGCAGCTACCAGGCGGACAACGAGCTGACCAGCGTCCCCAACTACCCGATCTACTACGCCCTTCTGGACGCCTTCACCATGGGCGACACCACCGACCTCCCCAACCGCATCGAGGAGATGAAACACGCCTGCCCCAACGTAAGCACCCTGACGACCTTCTCCGAGAACCACGACGTCACGCGCTTCGCAAGCCTCATCAACGATCTAAACGTACGTCTCTTTGCCCCTTTGCCCCAAATCCCCCATCCCCCTCCATCACCCCCAAACTAACCCCATGTCCAAACCCAAAGCTAGCAAAAAACATCCTAACATTCACCCTCCTCTACGACGGCATCCCAATGATCTACCAAGGCCAAGAACAGCACCTCACCGGCGCACACGACCCCCTCAACCGCGAAGCTCTCTGGCTAACAGGGTACGCGAGCACGCCCGAGACCGCGCCGCTGTACACGCACATCGCGACGCTCAACGCGCTGCGCCGCCACGCCATCCGCATCGACCCGGCCTACGTCGACGCTCCCACCTACCCGATCTATCGCGGGTCCAGCGAGATGGGGTTCCGGAAGGGCCGCGAGGACCGCCAGGTGGTGATGGTGCTGTCGACGCAGGGCAGCGCCAGCGGCGCGTACAAGATCCGGCTCACGACGGGGTTTCAGCCGGACGTGGAGCTGGTGGAGGTGTTGAGCTGTGAGCGTCTGACGGCGAGCGAGGTCGGGGAGCTGTGGCTGGGGATGGATCGCGGGGAGCCGAGGGTGTTGTTTCCGGTGAGGTGGATGGAGGGGAGTGGGTTATGTGGGTTTGGGGATGGGGAGGGGAATGGTGGAGAGGGGATGGGGGGGAGAGGGAGGGGGAGAGGGGGGGCAAGGGTTGGGAGGTGGTGGTGGTAGTGCTGGAGGTTCAGCGGGTGCGGGGAGGAATACGGGGATACCTTCGGGGGCTGTCTCTGTTCGCGTTGTTAGGGGTTGGGGCACTGGGATCGGGGCACTGGTTGGGTTGTGGATGGTGGTCCTAGGGATGTGAGCTGGATTAGGGTTGGTGTAATTGTGGGTTTGACATAAGTTACAGGTCAGATGCTTGCGCCGTAGTGAACAAGCTACTGAACAAGCGAACAGTCGAAAAAAAAAGATACTACGAATGCTATGAACATGAACCTGAGTGATGATGAGTGGAGATGTCTATTGTTTCCTCCTGATATGCGGCTAATACTAAAGCTATGCATACATTTGATGCTGGACCCCCATATTCCTAGCACCTAGAGCCGACCATTGCTGTTTCCCAGCATAGGGAGGGTTGGAATGTGCCCTAGTGAAATGTTCCATCTACAGGCAGTAAAGAAGGATCAGTGGGAAATATGAAAGGAATAAAATTACACCGGGCGCTTAAGCAGAACCGAAATATCAATCAACCTTGTTCCAACTTCTCAGTGATCCGAACTCCACAAGGGTTCCGGTTATTCATGTGACGAGTAGTCAACCGGTTAATAAAAATAGCTCTCGATGGAGCCACAGGATCGGATGTTGTGTTCACAGAAGCTATAGCAGAGCATTTACTTCCGCTGCTGGCGCATGCCCAGAATCTGGACCATGCGGACGAAGATGTTGATGAAATCCAGGGTCAAGCTGATGCTCTCGTTGACAACATCCTTGCGAACGAGACCGCGCTGAGAGAGGCGAGCGTGGTGAAGGATCTTCTGGACGTCATAGAGGGTGAAGCCACCGAAGACAGCCAGACCACCGTACAGCCAGATCTTCTCGGACCACATGAGAGTACGGGTGGCGGTGACAGGGAGAACCATAGGAGCGAGACCGGAGAGAGCAACGATGGCAACACCAGCGAGCAGAGGACCACCCAGGTACAGGTACTTCTCCTGCTTGGCGGTGGCACCAACGAAAGCAATGGAACCCATCATTCCGACAGTGTAGAGACCGGCGCGGGCGAGCAGAGCGGGGCTCATGAACATCAGAGGGGACAGGAGAGCGGCTTGAGTGATGTTGAAAGCAGTCCAGAGACCATACTTTACGACGTAGCTAATGGTGCTGTTAGCATTGCTGTTCGGCCTAGCTAGAACGGGGAAGCCTCGCGGAGTACTCACTTGTCAGGAGAAGTGTACAAAGTACCGTACATAGTTCCAATGCTAGCGACGAGACCAAGACCCATAACCAACCAAGGGTTGGCAGCCATCATGCGGTAGGAGAATCCGTTCATGTGCATAGCGCGAGCGGCAATGGCGATGATACCGACACCAAGTCCGGTGTGCATGAAAGTCTCGTTCAGGTAGCTGCGCTCATAATGGGGCATACCGCCATCCTCGCGGGTCTCGCGGTTGAAGATAAGGTTCGTTGCAATGATAGTACCTCCAACGATGGCGGCACCGTAGCCCAATTTTTGCAAAAGTTCGCCACGAGTGCTGTAGGTTGGCTGTTGCATATACGTCCGGCGGAAAGCATTCTGGAAGGTCTGACGAGATTTGGCGAAGATGGAAGATGAGACGGGGCCAGTAGGCTTCGGCTGGGCAGGCTTGAATGGGGTGTTGTGGATGAAACGAGCGCTGTTAGCAGGCTTGGAGATTTGACGAAGCGCCGTCGGAACGGCGAACGGGCGCCGCAAGAAGAACGCCATGATTGTTGGGGTGGTGTATCGCTGGATGACGACGATGAGAAGGAAGAGGAGGAAAGCGCTTTAAATGCGAAGCGATGATATCAATCCGGGGTCCCGCTGGCTACGGCGGCCCGAACGTTCGAGAAGTGAAGTCACGTGTAGTGACTCAATAATTACTCAGCGCTGGCCGCGCCCGGCGATAATCTTGGTGGAGGAGGGGGAATTAAGGGAATTAAGCCGGATATCTGCGATTCAATTCTACGTATTCAATACTTGTAAGTGACCTCGCACCTTCTAGCATGTGCCTCTGTTATATTTCTGACCACTGCTCGGCAGATCTGTTCCGTAATCAATAGCCTCGCTTCGCGCCATGTCTTCCTCGTTCGTCGAAACCATAGAGCTTGCGCATCTGCCACCTTCGATGCCCGTGCATGTCGCACTTTATCGGGATGTCAAAAATGCTGCTTCTCTTCGACAACAGCTGATCTCAGGAAACGCTGACTTTGAGTATGCCTTCATTGATGCGAGCATGGTATGAGATGATCATCAAAAACCTGGGTCAGTCAATTACCATTGTTTCTGATGGTGGTTCGCAGGTTCTCTCCAGAGCTCATGCTTTGTCCGCCGTCTTCCGAGCTGTAAACGACTCGATCAACGGACGCCTTAAGTCTCGCAATGTTCACTCAGAGATTGTGTTCTCATTCAGCCCAGCGAATAACGTGCGTTTTTGAGGTGGAACGCGACAAGCACCGACAGCCTGGCTAACTCTCTCCAGATTGCCGAATCATTCCGCAAATTCGGTATTGCCGACTCCACTAAAGACCTACTTGTGATCAAGGTCTCGATGACACCGGACGTCACCCACGACTCAGTCGCAACCCATCTTTCTCAACATGTTGACGGCTCGACTGTGCCATTTGACGACGAAAACCTGTCGAACATTGCCGATGTGACGAAAATCAAGAAGGCTTATAAGCTGGGTGCACTGAAGACTCCTTCCTCAACTCAGGCAAATGGCACACAGGGAGATGGTATGAGACAGCTTGAACTCTCTATCATGGGAGCGATTGCGTTGCGCGGGGCTACTTGATTGGCACGTAAGGTTTGAGATACCTTTCCTGCCAATTCCCATGATGGAACATCAACAGGCTTGTGAAAGCAGCCATCTGCTGCTTCACGCTATTCGACTTGCCTATTGCATTTTGGGACTGTGTTAAACAGGCCCAACCAAGCCTAGCTTCGTCCAAGGCTTGTCCCAAGAGATGCTTCTCGTTCCGGCTCCGGAATGAGTGAATCATTTGAAGCGCTATTGCTCTAGCATATAAGAGACAAGGGTTTCCAGGATCTGTGCACCGGATTTAGACAGACAGTGCTCGGAGTTGCAATGCCATGTACTGTACATAGTTCATGCAAAGCAATGAACTAGAACAGATAGCATAGAGATATCCAGTGGCCAATACATTGCTAAAACACTTTTAAAAGTGAAAAGTGTAGTCGCATAAATTAAACAGACTACATAGTAAGATGGTAGCGACAGGCGAACAGATCACATGCACGCGGTTGCCCAGCCCACCAATGTCGTCATCCCGAAACGGAAATCATTCAACTTTGCCAAGACACATCGCGGAGGTCTCGATCCTCGCCGCATCTACAATTTGGACAATTTCAATACATCTTGTTTGGCCTAGCAACTCATGCACTATACCACAACCAATGTTCAGATTCGCGTTATAGTATCGAGACTTGTGAGTCATATCTCAAGCAAAGTTCTACGGACCATCGTCGCCTAGATGTCCCGGAGAGATCGGACTCGTCGATACTCGCCACCATGACCGCCACCGCGGAGGTCATTGTACTGTCGTCCTCGCCAGAGCACAGCCCAGTGAATACACCCGCGCCACCCAAGTACGATGCGCAGCAGCTCTTCGGGCTGTCACCGATCGATACCTCCACTTCCCAGCCGCCGTCTCCATCGGACCTCTTCCAGGACCCTACGCGCTCCAAATTCTTCGAGGACGGGAAACAGACCACCAAACGAGCTCGGAAATCCCCCAAAGCCGCATTCGAGACTACAAACGTCGAAGGGGCAGATGCGACAGGGGTCAAAGACGGTTCATCCGAGGATAAAGTGAAAAAGAGAGGGAGGCCTAAGAAGAAAGCAGAGGAAGGCGTGGAAGAATCAAGCCGTACGGGCGAGGGTCTGTTTAAGAAGAGCTTGTCGAAAAAGCCGACTACTAGGGAAAGGAAACCGAAGGTGCCGAAGACTACGACGAAGCGCGCGACAGCTGCAAACAAGACCATTTCGGGGAGGGTTGCGAAGGCTGGTAGCTCGTCGCAGCCAATCGAGGGACAATCTGGCAAGAAATCCGATTGTCCCTCAACTCCGCAGCTTTCTTTGGATCAGAGCTCTGCGAATGATACCCGCGACTGGGAGAAGGATGGCCTGCAATTGGAACAAGCGTTAAAGAGAAGACTGGATTGGACGCCCACGAACGGCACTATAGAACAAACTAGCGGGTTGGATCTCAAATTGGATCACAACATCAATGAAATGAAAAGCTTTGGGACTTTGCTATCTGAGTTTGGTTTTGGTGGCATCTCTGCTCCTCAAGCTATGAATCAGGTTCTAGAGGAGAACGGCCCTACCAAGAGGAGGCGCATTGAAGTATGTCCCATATGCTTGATCTCGACGATCATTCACTTTCGTCTCGACCCGATAACTAACTTCCGCACAGCTGATTGACGCTAGAGTATATCCTGGGACAAAGCCAAAAACCAATGAGAGTAGCGAAAATCACTCCACTGAAGATGAAACCTCGAGTTCAAAAGCCCCAGCCGCGAAAAAGAAAGCCAGTAAGCCAAAGAAGTTCTCGACACTTACAGCGAGGGTAACTGCTCAGTATCTCACCAATGCTGCGGAGGCTATGGACAATTCAGAAGGCAGTTCTTCGGCCAGTATGCCATCAGCTCTCACGTCCAAGAAATCGACAACAAAGAAGGAGAAGAATGCTAGGGCGCAAGAACCAGAGCTTGTCTTACTCTCACCTGATGCCGCCATCCGATCTCTGGAGGATCAAGAGCTGGTCTTTGGCACTTGCAGTCAGTTAGAACGTGAGGACTCTCCTACTATGATAAGAGAATTGCAAACAGCAATTCGGGAATCGGAGCAAAGTCTAGCCTTGGAGACAAGCATCCGTGTGAGCAATGGCGCAAATGAAAGCCTACCGTTGACAGTCTCACGTTTCAAAGCTTCGAGAAATCTGTGGTCTGTCGCAGCCCGCGATGTTGACGGGTCGGCCTTGCCGGTTGAGGTAGTCGACTTAGTAGACGTCTCAGACACACCGAAGCCTTGTTCTGCTGTCAACAACGGAGACAGTAAGGAAAAGAAGGATAGAGATGTATCTGCAACCTCCAACGAAGCAATAGTGCTCGATGCACAGAAACCCGGAGAAGATGTGTCTACTTCTGCCCCTGAAACCTCAGACACTCTTGACAGACAAGCAAGTGTGGGCACATCACAACGTCGAGCCCGACAGCCTAAAATGCCACATTTTAGTGGCTTCACAGATGCTGAACTATCTAAACGAGTTGCCTCTTATGGATTCAAGCCCATAAAAAACCGCCTAAAAATGATCGAAATTCTCACCAAATGTTGGGAATCCAAGCATGGCACAGCTGCTCCATGCGCACCAGGCAACCCGGCTCCCCAACCCCCTACTTCATCATCATCGAAAACAGTGATTCCCAAGACTTCAGCCAAGGGCACTCGATCGCAAAAGATTACAACCACCAAGAACACATACGCAAAACCAAAGCCAAAGAAATCAGATGCAATCACGGAGTCAACGATAAAACCAACAGCAGCCAGGAGCAGACCTCCCAAATCTTCACAAACACCCACCAAACCCAACCACTCATCTCTCACGAATAGCGTCACTTCAACGATTTCTTTTGCAGACGTTGAAGAGATACAAGACTCCGAAGAAGACGAGAGCATTCCCTCCCCGAGCCGCTTACAAGAGAGATACCTCCTCCAACACGCCGCACCCCAACCAAGCCTACCAACCACTACTACCACCACTCCACCCACTTCCAGCAAGATCAAACCACTTAGCCTCTCCCGGCAGACCACGGATAGCGTAACGACACTGAGTTTCGATGCCCCCAACCTCCACGATCAGATCACCCAGGCTGTCCACGTACAGCCTCGACTCCGACCCACCAGCATCAACAGACAACCCAGTTGGCACGAGAAAATCCTCATGTATAATCCCATTATCCTTGAGGACTTCACAACCTGGCTGAACACGGAGGGTCTGGGCCTTGTCAATGAGGATCGTGAAGTTGGCGCGGCGCTGGTGAAGGAATGGTGCGAGGGGAGGGGCGTTTGTTGCTGTTATCGACCGAAGGGAAGAGACGGGTGAGGTGTCGTCTTCTTGCTGTCGGAATTGGATTCTGGTTGCGTTACGACTGCGTATCATGTTCGCATATTCGATCTCATACATTGATCTCCTATGTTACTGGAAAGGGCGTTTTGAGATACAAATCTGGGTGCTCATTGGGAAAGGGAAATACTCTATATAGGTACTTGGCATAAGGTGTTTTGAATGTGAACTTTTTTTCTTTTGGGGCATGCATAAATCTCAATTAAGTATCTGGTTATCTTTACTAGTATATCTGCAACCGCTAGCCATGGCTGTTTTCACCGCTAAATTGCACTCCAGGCAAGTCCATATTATGGATACCCCCTCCCTCCTCCCCCTCCCCCACAGTTATACATATCGCAGCCTCACGCAAGCCATCACCCCAATCTGGCAGCCCAGTGTTGCTGCCTATGTACATCACGCACTGTCAACTGATAGGCTACGTACCCTTCCTTCTCCTTCCTCAGCCTCATCCCTCTGGCAAAAGCAGTAAGTACGAACAATCGCCGAAGGGACTGGATAACATACGAGAGCTTTCCGCAAGGGCCCAACGGATATCGTGCATGTGTTGCTTGCCTGGTCTACTGATATGATGAT